AAAAAAAAAAAAAAAAAAACTCTAAATACTGCCATCTCCCCCTTACTGCAAACTCTCCAAAATTAAAATTAAAATGCAACATGCCAGACTAAAATTAAATTACTAAATTAACTCTCTCCTTTTTGTCACGAATGACAAAGGAAACCATAACAACAATATATAATAATTCAAAGATGCAATTGATAGCATGCACAAGCATAATCAATGATCATTAAACGTTTCCACATACTTAGTTCAAGTCTAATTGGAATAAATTATAAAAGTGACTCATGTGTGTTAAGTGCTATTAATTCCTTGTTATCAAGACTCCAAAACCTTAAATTTGTGAAAAATGACATGCTACACATTACTTTTAAATAATTTTATTCCACTACCAATGAAAATCAAACCATTAATGTATATTAGAATCTATAAATAAAGATCATTTTTCATGTATATTATTCTTTTCTCCCCCTTTGAGCATATATACATTTTCACACAATTTATATTTTTCCTTTTTAAACTCATTATTTTTCTTTTCAATTTTTTTCACATCTTATACGCAAACTCTTCTCCATTAAACGACTAAGATGACCCTATAACAAGTTTTAAACCGATGACTCCAAGCCAAATGATCATAGGGTATCAGGTTATAAGAAATCCCTCAATCTTAATCGCTCAAGTCAAATAGGTTTCAAAAAGAAGTATAATGAAATTCCAAGAATAGCTAACCAAAAAGGGGGATGAATTGGTTTTTAAAACTTTTTCTAAAATAAATTCAAGTCTTAAATAATATACTAGCAATTATATCAATTCAACAAATGTGTACAAATACAAATATAATTAAGCATGAGCACTTTGAGCAATATAAAGACGGTAAGTAAAAAGGGAAGAGAATGCAAACGATGTTGTTGTGGAGGCTCGATCCCAAACACAGTCTACATCTCCCGTTACCAAGCTCACCATCACGAGCAATGTATTTTCATTATATTGATTGACTTATGGTGCAATCCAACCCTATACAAAATTTTCGATAATTTACAAACAATGAGCATCGATCATTTTACAACGTTGAGCTTTTCAGGACCTCAACACGACCCACAATTCAGATGAATTTACAAATGAAATATTCTCTTCTTAATAAATGATAAATTCAAAGTTAAGTATAACAAGAGAAGTATGCTAACTCTTCAATATATAGCAATAAATAAAGCTCAAAAGTTAGATTTGAAAAACTTTGATGTATGAAATGATTTTCAAAGTTGAGAGCAATCTAAAGTTTTTCAAAATAAGAATGATTTGATAATAATAAATAAGATAAGAAATCAATACAATTTTAGCTCACAAGAATCTCAATTGAATGCTCTCTTGTTCTTGTAATAAATTATAAGTGAGTTGGTATTTATAAAGATGAAAAACTTTTGTCAAACCAATATGACCGTTTGTACAGGAAAAATCAGAGGTACGGTCAACCTCCACTTTTGGCCAATCAACCGCCGGCTGGCCGATTGACCGTCCGATCAGTTTGGTGCCTCTTTACGTGTTGTTTGTTCTGCTTTGAGAGTTTTTCTAAAATATGATCTTTTGGAGATCATTTTACACAAACTTTTCAACATAAAATATTTTACAAGTCCAAGAGTTATTTTTTTTTAAATTCATTTTTCACTTGATCAAATTATCGCTTTTTAATGCACCAAATTGTTTTTAAAGCATGGAACGGTTTTGAGCTTATTGTCATTCATACCATATATCAAAAGTGTTAGTACCTTTACATTCTTAGCTAAGAAACGAGTATATGATCTTTCTTCGAAGTTTGGCTCTTCATATTTTGAATGTGGCTTCGATCTTGACTTCTTTTAAGATTCCAATTTGTGATGATAGCTTTTGACCATTGATCAATTTTCCTTTGTACGCGTTTGAAAGACTATACTCACTTGAAATCAACTCGTTAGTAAATTAGACCAACTTGTTTGTTATAATCAAAACTTTGAGGTTTCAAATTAACCATAGGTCAACATATAAAATGAAATATTTTTTTCTCTTATTTGAGGGGATATATTAGAGTTTAGGTATACTAAATTAATGTTAATCCATGTTCAAGGTCACATTCCCAAAAGATGACGACCATCCCAAATTTTACACACGTGGTCAAAACTTACTCACGAGATCATAGTGTGTGCAGTGCAGATGGTACATGAAGAAACATATACTAAGTACTCCACATAAACCTAAACAAAATAATGGAAAACATACTATAGCACATTAATTAAACTTATATTTGGTCACAACACACATGTTCAAGTAAATCATATATCATGCTGTAGTAAAAAAAAATCCTTCCATTTTTCAATTTTTTTTTTTAAAATCAAACTACCTAAAAAGCAAAAGCAACCCAAAAAAATAAGATGCGTGCAATAATGTATGAATCACAATTAACAAGCATATGCATGTAGCAAAAACACCTAATCAATTAGTTATACAAACGCTCTTACCTTTAAGAGCCTCGTGATCAATTTCGAAAATTTTCAAATCACTCTTTTTCACCAAACCTGTTTAGTGGAAGACTTATTCGGAGTCAACTGTGTCATTAACTTAGTTAAATGACTCACTTGCTTAGTGAGGAAATCAATTTGATCATCAAAATCCTGATTTCTAACTTTAGTGAAATTCTTATTTCTATTTCCATTTCTATTCAGGAATTTATGATACATAGGCCTTATATGTCCTAACTCACCACAATTTGAAGCATGTAGGAATAAATTTAGGAACAATTCTATATTTCAAAATTTGAATCTTAGGTAGAGGAAACTTATGTTGTATCGATGATTTCAGTCCTCAGACATCTACATTATTGGTCGTGTTCATATTCAATAGCTTACGACACTTATGTCTTATGTATTCTATCTTACCACAATAGTGACACACGGAGATGAACCTAAGAGCATCTCTAGGTTTCAAGTTTTAAGCCTTAGGCTTTAAGGTAGGTACAAACTTATTGTTGGAAGATGAAGTAGTGTGAGAATTTATTTCATTATCATCAAAATCTCTTCTATGCCCAGCTGGTTTGTTCATACGTATCATATTATCCATTTTCTTAAATCTACTAGAATTTTTTGAAGTTGGCCATTTTATTTTTCAAGATCACTCGTAAGAGATTTAACCTTAACATCTAAAGACTCAATCTCAACTCTTAATTCATTCAAACATCTAGTCGACTCTTCAAGTTTGGCTATAAGACTCTCTTTTTCTAATTCAAGTACATTAACCGTTTTACGCATGGCTTAATTCACCTTCTTAATTTTAAGACCATCCTCAAATAACTGTTCACAAACCTCTGAACTTCCAAATCTCACTCAGATCCCGAATCAAAAACTGATTGACTCATCTAGACAAAGTTTTGAGTCAAAGATCGCTATTAGGCTCTAATACCATTTGTAAGTTTTAAATTACCGAATATCTAGACCCAACATGCGGAATTATACAATTAAAAGCAATATAGTCACTTTTTAATTATTTTTAGATGATTAGATCAAACAAATCAATTTTATCATATGTTGAATTCCACAATAATAATTAAAGCAAAAAATTACACAAGATTTGATGACGGAGAAAATCCTTAATTGGGTAAAAATTTCGAGACCAAGTCAATAACTTCCACTGTAGACAATAAGAACTTATAGTATGATCAAACCTAGAAAATCCACTAGACTCGCTGATTTAATTCCTGCAATCTCCAAGACCCACTGGAACGTGTTTCACTCACACTCGCGTCCCGATCTTCTGGAATTGTCTGTCTCATGTGGATCACCAAGAACACATTGTTCTTGTACTCTTCCTGTGCTTGCGATCTGACCTCTCTCAATCACCAGCAACCTCTGAAAACTATTGAGAAATTACCTTCCCGATGATATCTAGGAAGTTGGTGTTTTTTATTATTTGACTTTGATGTTTTTCCCAACTTGTGATTGATTGATCTCAAGTGTCAAATGTTTAATCTCAATGTTTGAATATGTTCTTGGATCTCAGAATAACGATATAAGGATGTATAATGATGATCAACCACATACAAAAAGTACTAGACATTTGGTATTTATAATAAAATGTATTTAGGTAGTATATGATAGATAAAATTCTTAAAAAATGCAAACTAGAATCTTTTGAAAAACTCCGTCGTTCGAGCGTCAAGCTAGCGACAGCCGAGAGAGAGTTGTGTCGCTGGAGCGAGAGTCGGGCGACAGACTAACATAAATCAAACGACTATTACTCCTTGTTCCATATTCAAACCAAAATACCTCTAATTCATTTATACAACACTCTAAAAGACTCTTTGACTATTAGAACTCTTTTATAACAATTATATTCTTTTAGAATAATCTTTTTATCTAAAGAATTATCAATACAACATGAATCCTAACAGTCTTGAATAAGCAAATTGTAATTGGTATTTGGTTGTATCAACAGTATTAATTTTTAGTTCCCAGCATTTTTAGGGTCAATATCGTATTTATTTTATTTTATTTTATTTTTATTTTTCCGCTGCATCAGTATTGGTCCAATTGACATCTATTTTTAGGTAGCATGAGTGAATACTCTCAATCTAGATAGAATTGTCCACATTAGCTTGTAAGTAGTGTATTTGGGGTCTTGGGCCATGTGTGATAGAACTTCTTGTAGGTGATGTTCTTGTATCTTGCGAGTATTAAGGCCTGTTTAGTAGGTCTTTTGCTTCTTGTAAAAAAGTTTCCTGACGAAATTTTCTATAATAAAGCTATCTTAGACTAACTTCTTTTAAAAGTTCTTTTAGCTGACAAAATACTTACAGAAAGTTATTCAAACATGTTCAAAAGCAGCTTTTGACTTCAAAAGCTTTGCCAAACATGTCCATATTTTTGTGATAAATATTGAAATTAGCTTTTGGATCCTTGTCAATTTAAGAATCATAGAAAATCTTCTATCCATCCAAATATTATGAAAAACTGTGTCATTGATTTCCCTTGATTTTAAAAAATGAAACACAAAATTTGTCCTACACTAAATATAAAATAAATCGCTTCGTTATCTAATTCTAAGGAAGAACATCCTCAATCCTAATTGTGACTATTTGGCGTTTATGTTGGCCTGCTTCAAACTCTTCTTTATTCAACAAAAAATATTTCATAATTAATATTTTTAATTTTTCCCCATAGACTATTGACCCTTAATTTTGTTTGTTCTGTTTGAATCGGTCTCCTTGAGATGATTATTTGAAAGATCAATGAATTGCCCGCCCATAAGTCAATTCTATGAAAAATAGAGTTATTATTTAGGGCATGTTTGTTTTTTATTCTCAAATTCTACAGTAAATCAATTCTCATTTTCAACAACACATTTTTCAATATAATAATATTTTCCATCACATCAATAATTTTTTCTTCTTTTTCAACCACACATTTCCCATCATATCATTATTCAAAAATCAATTCTTTTCCCAAAAATCTCTACCAAACAAGCACTTAGCCCTGTTTGGTGGCCGTTATTTCTAAAAAACAGTGTTTTGAATAATGATGTTTACGAAAATGTGTGGTTAAAAAGTAGAAAAAATTTTGAATTTACGTACAAAATATTTTATTGTATAAATATATAATTAAAAATGAATACGTAGAAAAAAGGTTTTTGAAAATAATGGTGGTCAAACATGAAAGAGGAGTCAAACCTTGTGGTAACGTTGTCTTTCTTTGCCGTATACTGCATTATATTCAACAAAATTGTTTATTAAAAACATGTTGAAATTAATTAATAATGCTGTTAAACATTGACCATATTCATTAATTTTTAAAAATTAATTAAGGATCAAGACAAAACGAGGATAAATTAAATTAAGGGGGGAATTACTAGAAAAGAAGACATATGTGCTGGTTTTAGGATGTGTTTGACCCACATTATTTTGAAAAAATGTATTTTGGAATAGTTGATTGATGGAAAATATGTGGTTGAAAAAGAAGAAAAAGTTATTAATATGAAAATATTATTTTATTGAAAAATGTGTGGTTGAAAATAAGTAGAAAAATAAAAACGAAATTTTCAATGTGGCTCAAACAAGAACTTATTAACTCCCAAAAGCAGCCCCCTTTTCCCTCCAACCGCGCGCACGTACTCCTAAAAAATAAAATAAAAATAATAATTCCATCAGCTAAGAGTATGTATGACAAATCTTAAGAAGTGTACATATATGTTCACTTATAAGTAAATAATTGAGTTTAAATTAAATGAAAAAATATAATAATTGAATGGCTGAAGGCTGGAAATAATTAGTGTATTTTGACAGTGAAGGCTTTAGAAAGAAGGAACTATTTACAAATCAAAATTAAGCCAAAGAAAAAAAAAGTAAGTTATTCGAATTTGAATATTACGAGTTACATCTACCATTACTTTTAAGCTTAGCCAAACATGGTCCAAAACTCCAGCTTATTTAACAAGTCAATGCAGCCACCATGCATTTCACGAAATCACGCGGTTACAGATTATTTTAAAATCCAAGGCAGACCATTAAGCTGGAATCCATGAATTCGATGTCTAATAATCCGAAAGCAAAAGCCAAAAATTTCATTAGTTAACGGAAAAACAATATGCAAATCCACATTGTATTATATATATATATATATATATCCGTCGAACCTAAACTTTTTTTCTGTCTGCATTATTCATGTAGTATCAGATCATATTCTTGATTAACGAAACGCCCATCCCAAATTCAGGAGACTTATTTTTCCCATAATCTTTTGCTTAAACTGCACAAAATCTTTGATTACAGAGAATTGAAAACACCAACCCTAAAATCAGCCCTTCTTTTTCTTGGTTTAAGTGAAGCATAGTCTGTGTTTCTGTAGAGAACATGGTTTCTTCTTTACCAATTCATATCAGTGGTGCTGTCCTCCCATGCAAGAAAACTAGGGGTTCTCGGCACCTTCCAGCAGTGAGAGCCCAATGCTTTAGAGATGAAGGTAATTATCAGACACTGTACACACACACACACACACACAGAGGTATTGTGGATGCAAATTTTAACCGTCTTGTTCATCTTTGTAGGGAGATCGAGCAGTATTGTGGATGCAAATTTACGCGTTTTGAGAGATAGAATAGAAGAAGTTAGGATCAAGGAGAGACTGGAGAGGTGCTGTGTGGCTGAGCAAGGATGGAACTATGCACCTACGTACACTTACAGACGCAAAAGAGATGAAGAATCTGTTCAGTTTCTTCAACTTATAGGAATGGTTGGAGGAACATTTGGACTCACAATTTTCAGTGGAACTTTTTGCCTCTACATTATTTCCCTTTTGGTTCATATGAGTTTATGAAGTTCACGTGTGTGCACGTTCAAAGGACAGGAATTTACTTCACTGCTTTTACCATCAGATGTATATTTCCTTTTTATTATTTTTGTATTCATTCTTTTGCAAATAGTATTCACTGGAAGTTCATGTACTACGAGCAAGACATTAATCTTTGTATCACCTTCATATTTTTATTATTGAAAACTAGGGGCAATACAATTCTTACGTTAAGGGCTATCCGCTATCTTGTCCAACTTTCAAGAATTAATACACGTTTCAAGCATTGACGATTATGAAAAGAGATTCTGAACATATCATAAGATTCCCGTTCTTGAAAATTCACACCTTTTTCTAACTACCATAGAGCTTGACAATGTGCTTAAGAAGGCATCGAGTTTGTTGGATAGACTTGTTCGAAAATTAATAAAAGAAGTTAAAATCTTATGATTGTGAAATATAGGAACTTGCCCACACCCAAAGCATACAATTCCTCTAAAGAGGTTGGCCAACTTTAGAAACTTCGCACCCTGTACCTATTTAAAAATTGGAGGGAGGAAAGAACAAAATTATTTATGACAGTTACAAAATAATAAAAATAAAACTTCGTATATATCTCCCCTTTTGGCCCCCACCATCCTAAAAAATTATTTTTCTCTTTTATTTTCAACTACACAATCTTTCATAAAATAATATTATACGTAAATCAAAAAAAAATTCTTTCTTTTTCAATCACACATTCTCTCAAAGAATAATATTTCAAAAATTATAATTTCAAATAATGGGGACCAAATGGAAGCTTATCTCTTAAAAAAATGTAAACGCGCACACAAACATCATTATTGAGAGAGAATGTATAATGTCATAGTTACGTTTAGTACGTTGAACCAAAAATAATTAAAGAAGAAAGTCACCGTTCAATGTTTAATATACTAAACATGTCATATGCATTAAGCTGTTATGTGCATTTTTTTTTACAAGGCACCGTGCACATTAAAAAAAAGAAGCATTTCTTGAATAACCTTATTGTAAATTCTTTTTGCTTTTTCTCTATCAAGTGCATTCATCAAACTTCTAGAGCAGTTCGGATTAGGTCAAATGTACCCCGATCCAGAGCACCTCAATTAAAGACGATGGAGGACAGTCTGTTCCGCCTCTCCAAACAGGGTTTCCAAGCAATTTTAATACTATATATCGCATCAAATTCTTATGCATACATTGGTCATGACGAACTTCATGGTCATAGACTAGACAAAAGTTTGAATGTTTCAATGGTCAATCAAGAGTTAAAAATGGGGCAGGTGTAGAAACTAGAAATAGAAGGAAAAGAAACACAGAAAAACAAAACGCTTACCCATTCCAATCAATTGATTCCCTTTTTCTTGAATTTTATAATTCAGATGCAACAACAAACAACAATGCCATAGGTACAGAAATTTTTTCACAGAAACCATACAGTCGGACATTTGGCAGATTATCATTGGAAGATGACAAAAAAAAAAAAATTCATATGCATTAAGCTGTTATGTGCATTTTTTTTTACAAGGCACCGTGCACATTAAAAATAAAATTATATATATATACATATATATATGTAAATTCTTTTTGCTTTTTCTCTATCAAGTGCATTCATCAAACTTCTAGAGCAGTTCGATTAGGTCAAATGTACCCCGATCCAGAGCACCTCAATTAAAGACGATGGAGGACAGTCTGTTCCGCCTCTCCGAACAGGGTTTCCAAGCAATTTTAATACTATATATCGCATCAAATTCTTATGCATACATTGGTCATGACGAGCTTCATAGTCATAGACTAGACAAAAGTTTGAATGTTTCAATGGTCAATCAAGAGTTAAAAATGGGGCAGGTGTAGAAACTAGAAATAGAAGGAAAAGAAACACAGAAAAACAAAACGTTTACCCATTCCAATCAATTGATTCCCTTTTTCTTGAATTTTATAATTCAGATGCAACAACAGACAACAATGCCATAGGTACAGAAATTTTTTCACAGAAACCATACAGTCGGACATTTGGCAGATTATCATTGGAAGATGAAAAAAAATAATAAAAAAGCAGCCACACTTTCAGTCTGTTTCTCCTTACTTGCAGAATAATTCAACAACAAATTCCTGGCCTGTAAACACCAACCTGATTCCTTGCACCTTATGCGAAGCCACGAAGGTACGAGCCCGCACCAACCTGATTCCTCGCACCTTACATAAACACCAATCTGGTACATTCGAAGAATCTTATAATTCAGATGTAACAACAGATTCCTGGCCGGTAAACATCAACCTGATTCCTTGAACCTTACGTGACCATGCGAAGAATTTGTATGATACATAAATGTATCACCAACACCACCTTGCACCTTGTGAAAATATGAAGAATTTGCATTATACATGTGTTATATCACGGCCAAATAACATTTTACTGATTAGCTAAGCTAAAACAGATCAAATACCCGTACACCTTGGTGATATGTCAGACACCTGAGTAAGCATTCAAAAATAAAAATCAAATTCCCAATGCCCGTTATAATGTGAATTTGGAAGCATGAACAGCTAGTCATTTATCAAATTTAAAGAAAGGGGAATGGGATGAAGAAATCAGGAAACGAGTATGTCATTTGAATGCGCAAAAACCACAATCCATCACCTTTCCCTTCGACTGTTATATTAGTAGCCAAAAACGAGTATATACACCCCAAGGCAATGTCGTCGTTTCAAAAATTGAGTATGCTTGCACTTCTCTACATAATAAGCAACAACTCAATATAAGTCGACAGAGACAAGTAAAAACACGTTGAAATGAGTTGGGATTTTAGTTTCTTAGAAATGCCACAGTGGCAACACGTGAACCAGCTGATCCTCCAAACGTAAATGTTGGATATGACTGAACATGGTCAATGTATTGGAATGGAGAGGGATCTCTGGAAGCTTCTACGTCAACAGCAGTGTCGGATTCTGGAGACGTGCCACTCCTTTGATTGAAAGCCTCCACCTCTTGTATCAGCTCATCTTTCGTACTGTTGCATGACGTGATAACCTGTAACAAACAAGAAAATATGATTCTTTATTCAGAAGTAGATAGCGTCAAATTCATACATTTCCTGAAGGCAATTCAATCCTCCCACAGTCACGTGATAAAAATCAATCAAGCTCACGTAATGAAGGTTTAAAAGCAGGTAGAAATTCTGAGACATGACGGACATAATAATGGCAATAAAAGGGGATCATATATTGCAGATGCTCACCAATAATCCACCAGAAGCCACAAGACTCGAGATGGAGTCCCAATACATTGACCTGAAACAGAAAATAACAATTGTCTAATTGTCAATCCATTTAGTTTGGAGACATTAGGAAACTTCATTTCATTTCTGGTGAACGACCATATTAGATACATAGAACTTGATCCATAGTGTCATGAAATACAAGACCTGGTAAAAAAAAAAGACGCCAAGTAATATAAGATTATATTTCACCTTTTGAAAGGACCATCAGGATGCAATCCAACGGCATCTAGAGTTCCCTTATCTATGACAAGCTGAAACTTTTTATCTAATTTGGTATCCAGAATGTCATCAACCTGAAAACCAAAATTCAGAAGAATAAAGATCAACTTTTGTACCTGAGAAAGTATATAGAATGATCATGACGATATAAATAGCAAATAATAGGACCATTAACTATCTAAAATTAACACCAGCAGGGCACTTGGCACAGTTCATCCTGTGCATTTATCCACACAACAGTTACCATGGTCTTCTACTTTTGGTGAAATTTTATGGGCTGGGAGGCTTACACCCTCAGATAAAAGAAATAAATTTTCTTCAAAAAATCATATATTGGCAACAAGGATTACTGTTATTCGTACCCACAAGGGAAGTTTTAAGACATCGAATTCACCAAGAGGATTACATCATGTAATCACAGGTTAATGCTCCGAGGTCACTAATCCACAGCCAGCATAAGGATGTAGTCTCATGATGCAAAGTCATCAGTACTTGTAATAATTTTATCCAACTATCTCTGTGGGCAATGGATAGTGTTTACCGAAAATACAAAAAATTAGGAAGTACTAGCCATTATTGTAGATTAAACTCTGAAAACACATTCATTTTTTTCCAGTAATAGACATCTCCAGCCATAAAATTTAAATTATACAGAGACTACATCTATAACAAGATAAAAGTACAATGCTCGTGTCACATAATTGTCCAGCGCCTCCATCTTAATAATACAGCAATATTCCGTCTTTTGTATGTTCGGAAGGAAGGATACCCCTACGTTCTCTAAATTTTTCATAAAAAGGGAAGTTGTCAATCATGTGGCATTAAGCCCTTGTTTCACATCCATTCTATTTCTCTCTTTTTTTTTTTCCCTCTTTTTTCATTTCAACTACACATTCTATCAATAAAATAATATTACACATAAACTCAAAAATTCTCCTTACTTTTTAACCACACATTCTTCCATCAATCACTATTCCAAAATCTATTATTTCCCTAAAATGGGTGTCAAACACAAGCTAAATGTCAGTGGTCTTGTCTTTGAAAGCACGGACAAGCTGTTAGCGTCGACGTATCGGTGTCCAACACGTATTGGACACCGGTACATCTCCAATACATCGTCGACGCGTGTCAGAGTTCCTTGCGACGTGTCGGAGACGGAGAAATGCAGATGGCAGGCAGAAAACGGTAAAAAACAGATGATTTGAAGAAATGCATATGGTGACTATGAAGAAGAAATGTGAAGAATGAGGAAGAAAATAAGAAAAGAGGAAATGAAAAGACGTGACTGCTAAGGAAGAAAACCAATGTAAACCAATGAAGAATCTGTGAAATTTTCAATTCAAATTGTTGGGCCCAATAACATTTAATGCACTGGAAAATTTCTTTTTGCAGAATATATTTTACTTTTTTTTTGCATCTTTATCCTTTAATAAAGCAACATGTAAAATTTTATGTGGATTAATTTTTTTACCTTACCATGTAAAATTCAAGTTTGATTTCTATTTATTATTTAATTATTCATATATATGATGCAATAAATACAAAAAAAAATTATTACTTTAGACTATTAAATTTAAAAAGTTAAAAAAATATTTTAATCAACGTGTCGCGACGTATCCTGTCGGAACTTTTTCAAAAAATCGCGTGTCGCCGTGTCCGACACGATACGTGTTGGGCACTCGTGTCCCTGTAAGAGCTTCTTAGGTCTTGTCACAAGAGAATTATCATTCATTGAAAAGATAGAAGAAATATAAGCTTGTCCACTTAGACTTGCTAACTCTGGGACGTACGGAGTAACATTATAAATGCAAGATAGAGGGTCTGTAGGTACATTAAGTCTTGTACTCCCCCACATTCCTACCTCATTAATGTCAAACGAAGTTGGCCTCCACAACTTTTCAGTGTCCTAAACACAAACTTCAAGTTTCAATTATGAGCGCAGCATCTAGCATGACATATTCTTATTAATATTGCATCAAAACACACCCACCTCGGCAAACAAACAATCACTTCGTGGCATATCCAGTGATAAATTTTGAAAAAGTTTTAAAATTCACAAAACTATATTAACCTTGTAGAAACAAATGAGAGAACAGGTCATATTGTCATGAGGAAAAAAAATAAGGATATAACTTACTAAGAACTTAATATTGGTGAATTCAGTATGATGCAATAAATACAAAAAAAAAATTATTACTTTAGACTATTAAATTTAAAAAGTTAAAAAAATATTTTAATCAACGTGTCGCGACGTATGCTGTCGGAACTTTTTCAAAAAATCGCATGTCGCCGTGTCAGACACGATACGTGTTGGGCACTCGTGTCCATGTAAGAGCTTCTTAGGTCTTGTCACAAGAGAATTATCATTCATTGAAAAGATAGAAGAAATATAAGCTTGTCCACTTAGACTTGCTAACTCTGGGATGTACGGAGTAACATTATAAATGCAAGATAGAGGGTCTGTAGGTACATTAAGTCTTGTACTCTCCCACATTCCTACCTCATTAAAGTCAAACGAAGTTGGCCTCCACAACTTTTCAGTGTCCTAAACACAAACTTCAAGTTTCAATTATGAGCGCAGCATCTAGCTTGACATATTCTTATTAATATTGCATCAAAACACACCCACCTCGGCAAACAAACAATCACTTCGTGGCATATCCACTGATAAATTTTGAAAAAGTTTTAAAATTCACAAAACTATATTAACCTTGTAGAGACAAATGAGAGAACAGGTCATATTGTCATGAGGAAAAAAAATAAGGATATAACTTACCAAGAACTTAATATTGGTGAATTCAGCACGATCGGCAAGGCTTCGAGCTAGATCTATTGCTCCTTCACTATAATCCGTTCCAGTGAGATCAGAGAACCTTAGATGCAAAAGTACCACAATTAGTTCTTCAGAAGTTTCAAATTTTTAATTGTATAAAGGATCGAGACTAAATTTTACATGCCATAACATTGAAAAAATAGAAGAAAAACACACACACACACACAGAGATCAGCAAGAATAGCCTGTGATGATCATAAAACAATATTTTCAGTAAACAAAATATCTCGTCCCTATTTACTTTTGTGAAAAGCATAGCATAGGACATCATCAAACAACATTTCGTAGGTTGTTAGTAAACCTTTTTCTCTTGCACTAGTGAAGTCACAGGAGAGGTAACATATTCATGATACAAATTAACAGACTACCTATACCTAAATTTAGACAAAATTGTTGAGGCAGTTCCAACAATAGAAAAGAATTTTCAGGCTCCCAAGCCTTGAGAAACGCATTTGAGATCATATACTGAATTTCAAACAACATTCGAATCATCAATAGAATTCTTACCAATTCCAAGAGAAAGTGATGTGCGCTTCAAACACAGGCCTAGTACCAATAACTTTTAAAAATTTCGAAGCACGTAGTTTCTTCATTCGTGCATCTTTTGGCCGTTATCATGACCATGTAACAAATAGATTCCTCTTTTTTGTGTAAGCAATGGTCCGTATTAAAAAGGTCTATACAAAAGCACACTATGCATCAACAGTGCCTCACTTTCCATATCAAGTTGTCACAAGCATTGACCAAACTGAGAAGTTGGAGATCTTTCTCCTACACTTGCCAATGCTATTTATATTATAAAACCATGCTCATATTACGGGATAGTGGTATTTTGCACCTGAATGTACATTCACCTCTTATTCTGTCCTTCCATGTTCTAGTTTATGGAGCCAGTCTCGTGTCCAGACGCTGATAATACATCTCCACGAGTTTCCCAATCAAAAAATTACCTCCAGCTATAAGTATCTAAATAGTATCTTATAGCACTTACCTCAAAATGCTATATTTGCTAGTGATTTACCCACTTTAAAAGCGCCATTTCGCTTTTGGGATGTTTTAAAATTTCCAGGATGATAGAAAAAAATGTGAAAAAATCACAAAAATTTATAAGGACACGAGCATACAACTGATGATGGTGGAAAGGAGAAACAAAGTAAACTGAAAATAAATAATGAGATGCCCTCAAGACAACAGGAACATGAGAAAAAACTTAAATGGACATTGTCACCAACACGAGGGATTTATCCTTCCATATTCTGTCTTTAGAAAGAAAAGAAACTTCCCCATCAAATCGGCTATTATTCTCCAAAATAAATGTCCTATTCTGCCTTCTAACAGGCATTGTAGGTGTTGAAACTCAATCATTGTTCACCAAAATCGAATATAAGGAATCACATCATAACAAATATCCAATAGTGGCTGCATAACTTTGCAAAATTACGATGACGATGACGATGACGATGACGATGATGATAAAGGTTATGCATAACCCATCTGTAGCTATTACAAAGTAATTTGTTCTTTTATAATTTAATGAAGCAGAGGAATATGCATATCTAAGGTAGGAGTTTCTTCTTGCATCAAATTTTCCTCTTCCCGTCATATCTGAATTTTTTTCGAAAACGCACTTTATAAAAGTTTCTTGAGGTGCTTATAAAAATAATGCTACAGACAAATGCACCAAAGAAGAAAGACACAACATGCCGAGCTGATGACCTGCAATTTAAAGTACATCGAAAAAAATTCTAGGTATCTCCAAGAACGAATAATTGCTGCAAAACATAAAGAAATCATCCCTACCCCTGCTTTGCAAACTCCTGAAGAAGCAAACCATTACCAGTCCCAACGTCCAGCACACTCCAGTTAGACAACTCCTTTTCAGGCTCTCCAGCAGACAAATTATTTTCATTATCTACATGATTTGGCAAGTGACGTTGAGATATTCCAATACACAAGTTTTTGGTCCAAGAAGCAACAATTTCCATCACATCAGCTCCAAACCTACAGAATGGAAAAGATACAGTACATTGCATTAAGTATAGCTCCAAAAATACAGTTTCACATATTTTTTTCCCTTGCAAGGCAAAAAGAGGAGAAAAGAGGAAGGGGGTTCATTGTTATTTGAATTATTGCAGTGACCTTCTCCCCCAATTCTTGTTTTGCAGGTTTTTTTTTTCCAGGCTAAAAAAGCAGGATGTCATGTATTTGCGAGTATACTGACAGCTCCAGTTTAAGAGCAAAGTTAGTATTAAATAATAACTATCACATGATCAAAAAGAAATATAGCAGAAATCATTAAGTAGATTGTGGAAACATGGATTCCCCAATAATTGCCTGAATACCAGATGAGTCTAAGAACCATAGAACAAAAGGAAGCAAATACTCAAGTTTATTAAGAGCAGCAAGATTCCGATATATCTTGTCGGAGACCCTAAGATAGCCCCCAGTCTGAAGTCACCAGTAACCCACATGGGGGCATGTGAAAAATAATTGCCCTCCCACGTCCATGCTGGCGCTGCAATGACCAAACATTTTGCCATCCCCCAACCCCAAGAGAAATTAGCAAGAGTGGAACTTGCTCAAGGACTACCATTGAAGATTATGGAGTCCAGCTCCTAGAAAAATCCGTCTCAAGAGAGGAATAAAACCTGAATATTTAACCATTTTACGGCCTCTCACAGATGGTGAAAAATTTTTGAATTTGTATATGATCCACACAAGGATAAGGTGAAGTAAAACACGTGCGTATACTTAGAGCGTGTTTGGGAGCAATTTTTGTGAGATTTTAATCAAAATTATAGCAACCTGTGGGCCCCACCTGTGAGATTTGCAACCACTTTCTATTTTTTTAAATTCCAATTAGAAGAGCATGAAGTGTATCTCAGTTAAGTTGAACGGTAATGACCAAAGGTGAACATTTAATAACTTACAAAATTATGGCAACACTTACCAAACTTCACCAATATGACCATGCTCCCGAAAATTCGCCAACTCATCAGCATATGTGGCATCCCAATAACTCTGAAAACCCAGCAATGATGAAACCGCTTCAGCATCTGGCTCCTCCTTGTCAGAACTGCTCAATGCAATAAGGAAATTTCACAAATTTTGGATAACTGCCTATAGCTCGAATTTCGGCAACAACAATTCCTTTTTAAGAAATAGTAGTGTATTTTATTAGTGTTTTGATCAAAGGGCATCACATCCGAATACAAGTAATCAATATTTTTGGTTCATTATAAGAACTTCTCTCCTTTTTATCGTGTGAATTAAATAGCAAATTGTTGACAAAAAGTATTAAACTTCATCCATATTAAATTGTTATATTGTAACAACTAATCGAATCATAATTCCTACCCATACAAATTATGCATTAAAAATTAATAAAACACATAGAATAAAATAAAGTAAAATCAAGTCCATAGATTATATCGACCTGCGTTGGTTATGAAGGGTCCATTTTCTTCTGGAAATATAATACTTTACCCCAATTAAAACCGTTGTGGTGTAATGAACTCAATTAATCACCTATTCGAAATATGCATTTAAAATTAACGAAATACATAGGACAAATAAAGTAAAATCAACTCCACAAATTACATTGACCCTCGTTAATTACGAGGTGGCCATTCTCTTCCGCACTCTTCTCATAAACGAACATTAATTTCCTAACGGAAAAAACCATAAAGTTCGGAGGAGTGAAATGATAGAGAGGACCTGTATTCGGAGGGGGCACGATAGGCGGCAACGGAGAGGGCTTCGGTGGCATCAGCGTGGCGCTGCTCGTCATCGAGAGTACTGCCGTACTCGCTCTTAATGGACCAGGAGTCTGCGGTCACGGACCGATCGTCGTCGGAGATCAGATCTACGGCAGCCACCTGCCGCGTCGCCTGCGAGACGTCTGCATCCTCTGGCGGCAACCTGATTCCGGCCATGCCAACAATCTAGTATTGAGGGCGACAGAAAAAAAAAATAAAAAAGAAACCCAAAGAAATGTGGAGGGAAGAAAAATTGGGGGTTTATACAGATTAAGAGATACAAGACAAAGCCGTACAGACAGGCTCAAAGACGGGTTGAATTTCCAGGTACTGATTTGGCCGTTTTCGATTGGTAAATTTTTATTTAAATTTGTTTTAATTGCCAGTCTAAAATTTCAAGTCAATTTTAATGGCACATTTTATAAAATTCATAATTTTAACAACTTTCCGACCATACTTTTATCAAATACAACGGTAGAACCTCCTAAAAATATTTTCATTTGCGATATGTCCCTACCTATTGAAAATTACATAAAACCATCTTGTTTGAAATTTTTTGCACAATAAACCTCTTACTGTCGAGATTCTCATATTTATCGTTAAAAACTATTAAAAAAAATGCCAAAATTGAAAAGGAATAGTTACAATTTTAGAACTCAAATTTTTTATTTTTCTACAAATTAAATCCACTTTTTAGTGTATGTTTGGAACCTCTTTTTTGGCCCAAATATCTATTTCTCCTACAGTTAGTTTAGACATGGCACCCCAAAGTCAAGAAAGCTGTCAGGAACCCATTTTTTTAACATTTCCTCCCGTTGTAAAATCTTTCCTTTTTTGCCCCCATCTTCAGCATCTACATTCAATTCGTGATTTCCCATTTCCAACCACTCCTCTCCAATAGTTGCAGAATCAAACCCTGGCTCGGCGATCTGCGACGTCGCGAACAAATCTGCCAGAGAAAATTGGAAAGTAACTTCGCTTTAATCCAGGTACACATCAGCCATTTTTGAACTATGCCAATCGAAGACCCAAGTATTATTTTTCACTTTCTTCTCCTGTCCATGTTCAAGGCTTCGATCCGGTTGGATCTTTTTCAACAAATCCGACTTCTAGCACGAATTAGTGTTCGGATTCCATGGACCACGACTTCTCCCAGTGGCAAACTTCCCCCGACCAAATGGTAAGCTATTCCTCATTCGATCTTTGTGAAGGAGTATACTCTGTCCATTTGCTACCCATTTATACCAGTTTTGTCATTTTTTTTACATGGGTATTACTCCAATTTGATGGACTTCTACATAAATTTATGTCTGACCTGCGATCCATACCTCCCCCTGTAATCGACTCCACCTATTCCGAATTTGATTCCTGTCAATTTGTTGATGTTTATCAATATTACCTGACTTCTCATGCTTGTTCCCAGGGCAGCGGTTCACAAGTGTTTGCCCACCGAATTTGCACCCTGATTCTTCCAGGTCGCAGGCAGCGCCGGGCGTGGTCAAAAGACGGCGAGATGGAACCAGCTGGAGCACAAAGTATTCATTGACACTTGCGAACTTGTCATAGCTGAGGGTCACCGACGAGGCAAATGCTTCTCCTCAAAAGGATGGCATCGTATATCAGACCTGTTCAACTCGTCGACGGGGAAGGACTGGACTACATCGCAGATGAAGAACTATTGGAATAAACTGCGAACGGATCACAAACTTCTGTTTTAGTTGTTGCAATGCACTGGAATTGAGTACCGCTCGAGTACCGGAAGAATTCACGCCCCTGACCATTGGTGGGAAGCAAAAATGAAGGTATTTTTCCACATTTTAATGCAGCTACTCATTGGCAGAGGACTTTGGCATTATAACATTGCACACTGCAACAATATAGAGTGTTCTTGCTTGATATATCATTTTACACACACAGGGACTTTACATTTTTCAAATGCCTTTTGCAGTTTACGATGATGTTGGTTGTTTTTGTAATATCCTAAACATGATGTTGGTTGTCCTGGTATTAATTAAACTTGATCTTGGTTGTGTTGGTGTTGATAGAACATGATGTACTGGCCGTGTTGGTATTGATAGAACATGATGTTGGTTGTGTCGGTACTGATTGAACATGATGTTAGTTGTGTTGCTATTGATTGAACAGTATTACTCCTTCTGGTATGTATTTGAAGCAATGGATACATGTACATGCACAAGTTTGTATTTATTTTGGACTCCCACGTTATTTGTCGTCTACCTCGTCTATGCAGGAAAACCCAAAGTATGCGAAGTACAGGAACTTCAACTGCAGCAAGATTTATGACACGTATGGTAGATTGTTCGGGGACACTGGAGACTCGACCAAGTATGCATTGTCCCCAACGAAGTTGTCGCACCGTGGTTTTGAGTTGGGCACAGATAGCGACAGAGAGTACGGAGGTGACAAGTTGCCCATAAACGCGGAAGCCACAGATTCAAGTGGCAGCCCAGTCGAAGGTCGAACAAACTCCTCCATGAATATATCTGCACATCATAGTGGGGATAAAAGAAAAACCAAGCACAGGAAGGGGAAAGCAAAGAAGAAAATGTTCGGTGCACGAGAGGTCTCGACTTCCCTTGAACAGATGGTTAGTGTTGGAACGGATCTTGCTTCAATTGCCCCACTCATATCATAAGGGAGGAATGACAATCGATGCATGCATTGACGAACTTCTGTCGACTGGCCATGTTCAGGAAGGTGATCGGCTCCACCTATTTGCCTTATGGTTCCTCCGGGACAAAGACAATCGGAACTCGTACTGTGCTGCGAAAACACCTCACTTGAGATTTAAATTCATCGAGTACTGTTTCGAGCGAGACAATATGTCCATTAATCGTAAGGATTGAGCGCTCCATCTGAACGTTTGCGATGAGTTTTTATTGTTTTTCTCGTTGTGTTCGGACGATTTTATGTGTGCATCACGTGTGTTACATTTTCCTTTTATTTATTACTTCGTGTATCGTAGAACCTTCGCCTTTGTGTTATAATATGAATTATCATGTCGAGTCCACTACCTTCGCACGTTTAAATGTTATGCTGAACTTTTGTGATAATCAAACTTCCATGGACTGCAGGGAAAATATTCCCGTCATCATGATTTAAAATTTCTTGCATGCTACAATTCCATCGGTTTTCCAACACCACATTATTACTCCAACCTATGGTAGATTAATGTTTTCAACAAAACAATATTCAATATGAGAATTTTTATGATTGCAGGGAAGAAACATTTTTATGGTATAGACTTTCTTGCATGCTACAATTATTAGGGCCACCTTTGTCATTAACTTTATCAACAGAAACAAGAGTCAAAAGGCTGCAGGGAAGAATCAAAGTTGCTACAAATTTCTTTCATGCTACAGTTCCTAATTTTTTCCCCGAAACACACATTATTGCTCCCACTAAGTTGCATAAATTTTTCAACAACACAAGGCACAGTGGGCTGAAAGAAATATATTCCCATCAATTGTAGTAGAAGTTTTGTCATCAATACCTTTGGTTGAGTAAAACAAATAGGATATATCAATAATTCAACGAACAGAACTTAAAATAATTAGTACTCCTGTGGTTGAAGTTCTATAAATGGCAACTGCACGAGACAAGCAATCTTGTTCATAACTCAANGTTCCTCCGGGACAAAGACAATCGGAACTCGTACTGTGCTGCGAAGACACCTCACTTGAGATTTAAATTCATCGAGTACTGTTTCGAGCGAGACAATATGTCCATTAATCGTAAGGATTGAGCGCTCCATCTGAACGTTTGCGATGAGTTTTTATTGTTTTTCTCGTTGTGTTCGGACGATTTTATTTGTACATCACGTGTGTTACATTTTCCTTTTATTTATTACTTCGTGTATCGTAGAACCTTCGCCTTTGTGTTATAATATGAATTATCATGTCGATTCCACTACCTTCGCACGTTTAAATGTTATGATGAACTTTTGTGATAATCAAACTTCCATGGACTGCAGGGAAAATATTCTCGTCATCATGATTTAAAATTTCTTGCATGCTACAATTCCATCGGTTTTCCAACACCACATTATTACTCCAACCTATGGTAGATTAATGTTTTCAACAAAACAATATTCAATATGAGAATTTTTATGATTGCAGGGAAGAAACATTTTTATGGTATAGACTTTCTTGCATGCTACAATTATTAGGGCCACCTTTGTCATTAACTTTATCAACAGAAAGAAGAGTCAAAAGGCTGCAGGGAAGAATCAAAGTTGCTACAAATTTCTTTCATGCTACAGTTCCTAATTTTTTCCCCGAAACACACATTATTACTCCCACTAAGTTGCATAAATTTTTCAACAACACAAGGCGCAGTGGGCTGAAAGAAATATATTCCCATCAATTGTAGTAGAAGTTTTGTCATCAATACCTTTGGTTGAGTAAAACAAATAGGATATATCAATAATTCAACAAACAGAACTTAAAATAATTAGTACTCCTGTGGTTGAAGTTCTATAAATGGCAACTGCACGAGACAAGCAATCTTGTTCATAACTCAAAACGATGTCTGATACTTCAGATGTGTACGCATCTTCAGAAACAGACTGCGACGTTCAATCGATGTCTGATTCAGATAGTGGTTCAGATGAAGATGTGATGGAGCAGTTAGAGGATGACATTAACACTTGGCTTCAGTTTTGTAGAATCGCACACCGAATTGTCCGCGATTACTTGGCACCAAATAGAGCACGTAGGTTTTTATTCCTGACAACACGATGCGGACACATTTTTATGCTACAAAACTTGCATGTGTATCCACAAATGTGTTTCCAGGAGTTCGGGATGTACCCGCCAATGTTTATGTACTTCACGTACATACTTCGCGACGAGTATGGACTTTGCAGCAGTGCAAACATTGACATATACGAACAAGTGGAAATGTTCTTGTGTATTCTAGCACACGGCAAAGGATATTGGCAAGTCCAAACCTTGTTCGGCCATTCGTTGCAGACGATCAGCCATTACTTTAAGAAGGTCCTGCGGGCGTGCGTGGCTTTCACGGCAACCATGATTAAACCAGATCCGCATTACAACGAAGGGGCAGCTCACCATCATCCAAACGTGGAAAGATATCCTCTATTCCAGGTTATTACGTTCATGATGTACATTGTCTTCGCAATGTAATGTGCTTATCTTTAATGTTATGTTCATAATTGTACATATTATTATGACAGGATTGTATTGGTGCGATAGACGGCACCCATGCGCAAGCCGTCCTGCCACGCAATGTAAGAGAGAATTACATTGGCAGAAAGGGGATTCCTACCCAGAATGTACTGGCCGCCTGTGATTTCAATCTCTGTTTTACGTTTGTGTTGCCGAGAACCACCGGGAACATACACGATAGCCGAATTTTGGCCCGTGCTGTGCTTAGTGATGAAATAAATTTTCCCCACCCCGCGAACGGCAAATACTACCTGGTTGA